CTCCTCACGGAGCCGCTCCCCGAATGCCGCAGCCCCCGGGGCATGACCCCTCCCCAGGGGTCTCGCCCCCGCCGCCCGCAGGCGCCAACCCCCGCCTCTCCCAGGCCCGGCGCCTCCTGGGCGCGCGGAGGCGGCCGAGCCAGGCCGGGCGCTCACCGGGGCTGCCGAGCGCGAGGAGCAGGAGGCAGCAGCAGGGGAGGCTGAGGGGCCGCGGGCAGCGGCTGCGCGTCGCCATATTCACCAGCGCTGGGGCTCTGCGAGACGAACGGACGGGCGCAATGAGAGCGCAAGGCCGGTCATATGATGGGGAGGCGCACTCGGCGGGCAGCCAATCACAGAGCCGGCCTCACCCCGCCGCCAATTTTATGGGTCACAGGTGTAGTCCACCTCATCAATGAGGCGGGCGGGCAGGTGGCAAACCAGGGATGCAACATACGACTGGGGCTTAGCTCCCTGTTTCCTCCCATCTCAGAGTAAGAGAAAGGCGCTGCACTTTATCTCTATAGGGCAAGGGTGCATCAGGCTGAAATAACTGTAATCCCTCAAAAATCATTCCCCAACAGAGGAGTAATGTAATATAATGTGTTCTAATTACTAGGGCTGCTAATACCACCTACTAAGGTTGCCTAACACTTCCCATTCTAAGACCCCATTTTCAGTTGCTTATAATGTTGCCAAATTTTAACTGTTTGGGATTAAATTTTCCATGCAGTGTCTGTCTCAGGCTGATTTTTTTTTAATTTCATCCAAAATGGTTCAGCCGTTTCTTAGAATGACACTAGGGAAAAATACATTATTTTGCCCCTATCAGAAAGTGTTGAAGAAGTTTTTAGCGCTCCCATGCTTTGGAACAAAGTAGTACAATTCGGGGGGTGGAGGGTGTAAAGCCTTTGTGTCAGGGAGGTGCCATTTGCTGGTCTTGTGAAAAATTTGGTCAAGTTATAAGCCTTTCAAAAATGGCAGTTCACTCATTTAGTAGAGACTTTTTTGTTTTTACAACTAAATTCCTGAAGAATCTGCCCTCACCGATCATCCTTGAACCTTTCACAGCTCTGAGTCATGACCAGATTGTATGTGCCATCTTCTCTAGGCTCCTATATGTGACTAGACTGCACAAGTGCTATCCCCACAGAGCAACAGAGCACGCTCCAGTGCAGGGATCCCAGGATAAAGTCAGTCTTTCCCTGTTATTGTTGCTCCTGGAAGAAGAGGCCAGGCACCAGAATTGAGACCAGGTGACCCTGTCTGTTCAATGCTGTTAATGACTCCTCTGCTGGTGCCCAGGCAGTGTGGAGAAGGACGCTGCCTGACTGGAATGCAGAGGAGAGAACAGCTAACCTAGCAGGAGAGAAATGAGTAGATTGGGACAAGGAGCCTGCTGACACTGGGACTGAAGGGTTGGGGAGAGAGAAACTGGGACTGGCTGGGCAAGGAGACTGGTACAAGGAGCAGGTGAAGGAAACAAGTGAGGACTAGGAGCTAGTTGATGGGGAGGGTAACCACTGAGATTGGACAAGGTGTAGGGGAGACTGGCACTGGCTGGACAATGAGACTGGGACAAGCAGCCAGGGAAAGGGGTGGGACTGAGACAGGGAATTGGGAAGGGGGTGGGTATAAGGATTAGATTGAAATTGGATGAGGAGCCCTGTGCGGGAGACTGGACTGGGAGCCAGTGGAGGGAAGAGGGAGACAAGAAGTTGGGAGGGGAAAAGTGGGACTGGGTAGGCATGGAGACTGGGGACAAAAAGTTGGGATGGGGGCGTGAAATTGATAAGCGAGTGGGTGTGGGGAGGGGGCAATTCGGACTCAAACAGGGAGCTTGGAGGGGAAGACTAGGACTGGCTCGGCAAAGTGACTGGGACTGGGATGAGAAGCCTGAGAAATGGAGCCTGGGACTGGGTAGACAAGGAGCCAGGGATGGGAGAGAGACAGGACTGGGAGAAGGACAGATTGAAGGGCATGGGCAGACAGTTTCAGACTTGGTGAAAACAGTCAGAACTCTCCCGTCCAGAGCCTGAAATGGAACCCAGGATTCCTGAATCTCAATATACCTCTGCTGTCAACAAATATCTGTGAAACCCATTGGCAAAGTGTGTGACCCATCCAACCCTAGTGCTGGTCAGCGTAGAGAATGACAACCTCTTACTGTATTGCTATCCATTACTCTGTTAGCTCAAGTGGCAGAGATCTGTGTAGTGGATCTAAAGGTTTGCTGATATCCCATGTGGGATTTTTTGTTTGCTTTTTTATAAACTTAAGAAATTACACATCAAAATTTTCATGTAAAGAGCATAGTAAGGCTGGAGAGTCAAGCATGCAAAAGTTAGCAAATGGCAATATTAAGATTGCCTATGCAACCTTGGATGTGTGGATTATAATGGTCTTTAATGACATGATCACATATTGTTTTTCAAATAAGTAATAATAAATATGAATATAATATAACATAAGTGTAATTATGGCAACTGCCAAAACATTGTCTCAATAATGAACAAGAAACAAATATTAAAGTAGTCCCTTTCTCAGAGGTTACAATGTCAAGTGATTTATTATGCATATAATTCATTATTTAGAATATTTATAATGACTACAAATGCATTAATGTTACTGTAACGTGGACAAGCTATTTATTTTAATGTTATTTGATTTTACAGTAGCATTCAGAAGGCCCAGTCCAGATTGGGCCCCCATTTTGCTGGATATTTTGCTTTATTAACGGTCATGAAGAGCCCTGCTCCTAACATCTTACAGTCTGAAGCCTTAAGTTTTAAAATGCTTACATGCTTATCTTTATGCACATGAGTAGTCACGCTATGGTCTATACCCCTGATCCTGCTTAACTCTACTGCAAATGCAACTGAGCATGTGCGTACGTCTATCCAGGAGTAGGGCCTAAGAAACTTGAGCAGACAACGTGGGAGGAGCAGAGTCATGAAAGTTCTTGAAGGTGAGGTGAGGCCAAGAAGGTGAGTAAATTGATGGGGTGAGCCAGTGGAGGGATTCAAAGAGGCAGTGTAATGATGTAGACAAGACAGAAAATCACAGGAGCTGTGTTATGTATGGTCCTGAGGGGGCTGGTGTAATATGAATTATCTATAATATCAATAATTGTAATTTACGTAATCACTTATAATGCTTTATTTCTCCAAAGAGCTGCACAAGCAATTAGCCTGATATTGCAAGCCCTTCAAGCAGGGAACTCCATTGAAATCAATGAGTCTTACTGTTGGGAGTTCCTCACACAAAGTGCTTGCAGGATTGGGCATATTAACTAGGTCAGTCCCTTCCTTTTAAAAAAATGTCTAATTACTCACAGGATCAACCCAAGCTCTGTGGGCATGCAGCTATATCTCATCTCTCTCTCCAGGCACCACTGTATCTGACCCCCCCATTCCTATTTAGATGGAAATAATGACAATCTTTCTTCCTTCCTTCTCCGTATGTTGGAGAAATAGCTTGATTAGTAGATACGTTTTTTGTTAGCGTGTATGTAGAACTTACTGGAAAAAAGCTAAGCTGAAGAAATTAATTTTGCATGTAATACCTGATCCTGTGCCTATTGAAGTGAATGGAAAAGCTTTCTTTGGTGCGGGATCATTGGTGCAGGATCAAGCCATTAGTTCTAAAAGTAGCAAGGACTGTGGTCATTATCTCTTGTAGGAGTAAATATGTGACTTTTGTAGTCCAGGTCCAGCTTTCAGGATCATGAAGTGTGATCTCTCAGGAACATAGGACCAGTTGCAGGAAGGAGTTTGAATACCAGAACAGAGATCTTCAGCTAGACTCTGTAATGAATGTGGAGCCACTAAAGAAAGGAGAGCACTCGGTTGATGTGTTTGTAGCAATCTGTATTCTGGAATGCTGTATTTTGTATCAGTTGGAGCTTTACTTCAGGGCCTGTGGGTTCATTCCTAAATGTATGTGGATTTAAATGTTCCCTTGTACTATTTGTATACTGTACATTCCAGCCTTTGGCTAGTGCATCAGAGCCAGAATGTGAACATGAGCAGAAATTCAGGAGAAACGAAAGTGAAACTGGTTAGTCTGTTTCATTGTCTCAGTTTAGTAGAGTGATAGAAGGGACCAAATAGATTATTAAAACTGAACAAATGTTAAGAAGATTTGCTTATCACTAAATATGCCAAGGTATGATTAGAAACAGGTAAGCGATTTCTTAACATATATCTCATTTTTAACTTGACAAGTATGAGTGTCCCCGTTAATCAAGAACACTAAAACATTCAGGCAGTTTTCTTTTTCACATGGTTGCTTTGCCCTCCCCTACCCCCTGTAAGATTGCCTGTGATGTCACCTAATCTCATTGTGAGCTTATCACATGCATTGTGTGTTCTGGGATTGGCTGAAGCTGCTTGGTGGTGGTGTGTCATGTTGACTGTTTTAAGCAAGAGAAAGATGAGGAGATAGTTCAACCCTGGGAATTGTGGGAAAGCTAATTTTTCTAATACAATTGATGGGCCCAATCCTGCTCCCATTGAGGTCAGTGGCAAAACTCGCATTGATGTAAGTGGGAGCTGGAGCAGGATTTAATTTTTCTTAATAAAAATGACAAAAATACAGTCTCTGCCTTAACTTATTATTTTACTATCACACAATGAAACAAGAGATGCTGATGGCTGCCCTGGGTCTGTGGTTGCATGGTTGCAAATTTCTGTTAGCTGCAGTGATCATGATGATGAGACAGCCCCTGGGAAGATCTCTCTAGGTCCCAGCCCCGAAATGCAGAGCCATTGAGGACCTCTGTAGGAAACACAGGGACAAATTCTACTCTGGTGTGAGTGAGTGCAAGCTCCATTGAGGTTAATGGAGTTGGATCCAGAGAGGAATTTGGTCTGCAATCTTCAGAACCCTCACTCACCCTTCAGCCCCCTTAAGTGTTGGGTTTAGTCTTGCACAGGAGACATTTGCATATTTTAACCAGCTTCCAACCTAATCAGCCCCCTTAAGTGTTGGGTTTAGTCTTGCACAGGAGACATTTGCATATTTTAACCAGCTTCCAACCTTGTGTCAGCCCCTTAGTTCTCTCTTTTTCTCTCTCGCTCTCCTAACTTGAATTACCTTGATCCTACTAACAGAGGCTGGGTTTTCAAGATATTGTCTCCAGCCCCAGCGTGGCAGGCATGCAGCCTGCCCGACCACCTTTCTGGCAGGTCCCAAACCCTTTGCCCTCACCTTAGTTCTGGAACTAGCCTAGTTAGGAAGGGACAAAATAAAGTCTTCTCCCTTTAGCAAAAACTACCAGGTTAATTTTGTAAACCCACACAGCTATTTTTATTGAGCGAGCATGACAGCAAC